GTTTCTTCAAAACGTACTTAACACCGCTTACCTGTTGTTTTCTCGCCTGCCATTATCGGCAAATACTTGGAGTCAAGGACGCGGATGTCAAAACCCAGTTGTTCTTTAAGCATTTCTTCAATTACAGGCACTGAAGCGGTTTCCTCTTTCAAATTTATGTGAACTTGATATTTATCAAACACATGTCCTGAGGACGTTATTTCTACAACCATGAACGATTTCTTCCATCCCTGGGACTTCACCACTTTAAAAGTTGGCCTTTCAAATCTTCCATTACCAGGTGGAGGGTTCGTTTTACTTCTAGGTTGTTGGTAAGAAATCGGTATTCCAAGAGACGTGGAAGGGGATTGTGGTGGAATCACTGACACTACCGGTTCTCCATTGACGACGTACGTTTTCGAAAAGTCTTCAACTAGGACAGTTCCACTTTCTGAAGGCAGAATGATTTCTGCCTCCTCCTCTGAATGGACTGTATATATTCCCTGCTGTGCTTCTAGTTTAAATATCATGGCCAAGTTTGTCACTGAACTGTGGCAGGCCAAAGTTTTAAAACCTTTTCCCGGTGTTTGACTTTCACATAAGTGTGAGCCATCTTGATGTCTAAGTGGCGTTGGAAGCATTGACACTGGTTCAGCGGGCGGCCCGTGATATTTAAACGTGGTTGTCAACAGATGGCAGGTGTCAGTTATAAGTAACTTGAAGAGAAGGGCAGGGCTTTTGTACCTTATGCTTTTGTTTTCCCACTAAAATGTTCCACCTTAATCAACAATGCTCCATTTTTTCCACTAAAATGTTTGCTTCTCCCCAAAAAAGTCACTAAAATGCTCGATAATGCTCATTATACAGTCTTTTTTGTTAATTTTTACGCTAACAAAAACGTATTAAGTGGTATAACCACAACGTATATGTTGCAGTTAACGATTTTAATACAGCAACCGATAATCCCTCATTATAAACGGTTGTATTAGGTTGGCATTTGAATTTTCTTTTTTTTTAAATATCTACTTTAAGTGTTCATTTTCTCTTCAAAAATTTCATTTTCAATTTCTCTGAAAAAAAAAAATGATGATAAATTTCTCGGAAAATTCCACTACAATGCTCCAAAAAACGCGAGCATTATTAATATAAAAAGGGGTAAGAAGGGGAAATAAAAGTTTTTCAGGCTCACTTTAGTGTAAGTAAGGGGGTCTCAAAGGGATTGTGGCATTTACGGTTACTGACTTTACTTCGGCTTGCGGCTCAAAAAGTCACCCGAGGTCAAATTCAAAATCTAGTTTGCATTATTGCCCACTGGACTAAAGTCTCTAGTAACCCGTTCCGGAGTGAAAAAAGGCACCCACGAAACAAAATAGTTATTATGATAACCCGCTTAGTTTAAACTTAAGAGGAAAAAACACTTCTCTGCTGTTTGTCATAGATCGACGTAGAATCTGATTTTCCTTTTTTTCGCAGATCAAAATGGTTCGACTTTTCATATAGGACTTTTTTTAAGTCTTCGCTCCACGCTTAAAAATGGGCTTGTCTAGGTCCTCCACATATATCTAGTTTGAAAGAAACAGTAGCTATTTCATCCATTTGGATGGTAGCCAGTAATTTCGGATCTCTTTAGTCTAGTTTCTCAATTTTGATCGGCTAAAAGGAGCCAGTTTTTTTTTAGTCCGATGATTCCCCATAGTAGACCCTCGTCCACGTACGTAGTTCGGAAAATATGCCAATAATGCAGGACGCGATAATTATAATATTGGGCGTCCGAGCCATTTCTGTTAAATAGCCAGGGCCACTGAGGACTAGCCTCCCATACAGGTGTTTCTAGGGCAGTCTAGGATGGGTTTTGCTCGTTTTAATTAGATTCGAGACTGCGAAATTCGATTGTAGAAATGGGACATAGAGTCCCCTAAAAAGGTCTGTGTATCGTTCCTTAGGGGCGCCAACGGTTGCTTGACATCTATCAATCAGTAGGATTTTAATTGAAACGTCATTTATTTTTAAAGGTACCTTTTTCGCGCTTTTGAAGATATCGCTTCAACCTGAAAAAAAGGTACCTTTTTTGCGCTTTAAAGTTTTGTTTGGTAAAGTGAGGAATGGATGAAAAGCGGACAATATTGACGTTAAAATATTTTCACCCGAAAGCTTAAAATACCCGCCTTTTTTTCTAAAAAGGTACGTTTTTTTAACTTTTCACCTAACCAACTAGAATTAACAAAAAAGGTAACAATTTTGCATTTTGTTCTATGAAAAATGAATGCAGAAAGTTAATTTTTCTGCTCTTTTCTAGTAGCAGAGTTGATCCTTTTGTAAAAAAGTAGAATTGCCGGAACCTTTCACTGATTTCAGGTCCCTCGGGAAACCAGTTAGTTTTTAGAGTCCTGATGTTTCCCGAAACGAAGGAAAACATCAGGACTCGAGGGAAAACAAAACTGTTTCCCTCAGGATCTGACATTCAGTGTATATTGTCCTTTTTTTAATACAGTTTAAGAGCTCCAACAACAACTAAGTTGATATTTCAAGCTGGAAATGTTCATGAAGGTGCAAGTCTCTTCGGTGAAAAAAAAAAATGTTACGAAAGACAGTAGGATTCGAACCCACGACCCAGATGGTCCAGTACACTACGCTGACCATTAGACCACTGAGGATTTGGTGGACGGAAGGGAAATAATTAAAGTACAACTAGCATCAACCCCAACCCAAAAAAAGAACCTTACCAGTTTCGAAACTGTGTTTAACCCTAATCAGTAGAGGCAGTACTTAACCCTAATCTGTAAAGGCAGTGCTTAACCCTACTTAGTAAAGGGGAAAACTACGTATGGTCGACGAATCTAATGATAACCTTGTTTAATAGTCCGAGATAGCGAACCAATCAGATTGCTTAAATCACCAAGATCACTTAGTGTGTATATACTAAATAGATTCAGCCAAAGCTAAAAGCGAAGCTCTCGATAATATTAAAAGTTTGTTCAAACAAGATATAAAATCGTGTAATGCCAAGCGGCGAAGGCAACGCCGGAGAGTGGTGAAAAATAACAATAGGTCTAATTAGCAAAAAAGCAACTTTGCATGTGCAACACACATTTTTGTACATTTCTTTGCCATGGTTTTGCACGACTACAACGTGAAAATTCTATAAACATCTTAATTACACTGCCACTACGAAATTTTCATGTTGTTCCCCCCCCCCTCCCGCCCAAAAAAATATATCTTTTGTTTTTTTTTTCCCTCTCGCTGTAGACCTCTGTTGCCCTTTTTCTCGTTGAGCTTTACTGGCCTTCCGCGTACTTTCTCTTTTTCTCTGTCTTTCTCCTGCTCTGTATGCCAAATTTGTGGACATGACAATTGATCTATTAAAGGGGCTGTGTCAGGGCAGTCCAGTTCATTTTGTTTAATTTTGCCAATTACTCGCCCTCAGTCGCTATGGAACTTAAAGTAAGCAGAGCAATTACATGTAAATAACAAAATCAGAGATCCGAGACAAACACATATGTCTCTTGAGCATTATTTTTGAAATTAGTTGCAAGCAGCAGGGATCAACTTTGAAAAACTGTTAGGCTGAACAGTTTTCAAAAACCCTAATTTCCATCCGTTTTAATCTTCTTCAGTTTTGCCCATTCGTGACATCTGTTGTTTCTGTTATGTTATTTTAACCTTCCTTTAAAGTTTTAAACAGTTATTTTTATGTTTCTCTTAATTTAACAGGCATTTTGTAATTTCCTACACAGCAAAATCGAGGTGTCATGGTAACACTAAAAAAGTGTAAATTCTTGCAGCTGTGTGAACACCAAATAGGTGTTCAGTTAACACTACTGTCGTGTATGTTTACACCAAATTGGTGTAAATATGACCTTCATACGATCCTGAATGCGTTAAAAAACACCTTTGAAGTGTTACAGCAACACTGATTTGGTGTATATTTTCTCTATATTGGTGTAGAATAACACCAAAATTGGGTTAACGTAACCTAATTTTGGTGTTAAAATACACCAAAAATATGTCTCTTTTACACTGTTCTGGTGTTTTTGTTACACTAAAAAAGGGTAATGATGACACTGAATATGTGTAAAACCCATTGCAGCTGTGTGCACACCAAAGTCACGTAAATTTACACTACTGGGAATTTTACACTGTATTAGTGTAGATCAACACTTCTAGTTGTGTTATAACACACTGTTTGAGTGCTGAGCCAACACTATTTGTTACTCATGGAGAAGTCCCAAAAGTAGACAAAGTAACAACTACGACAACAACCTGTAAATTTACTCTCATTTAATAGCTTATTTTACCCTGATAGTAATAAAAACTTTCTCGTCTTCAGAATTCAGTAAAACAGAATTAAAAGGAGTGTTTAACTAAGAGGGCTGTACACAGTGGGTCTTTCTTTTCTAAGGGCCTGTTTACATGGAGGTGGGGGACCCCAGGTAGGTGAGGTAACCCGCTTAGGTGGGGTAAAAAATTAACCCTCCTTTACATGCAATCTTAACACCCCGTCACTCTGAGGTGCGCGTTGTATTGAGTGGTCGCTAAGCATGTAAACAAACAAAATGGCGGACAAACCACGATTGTTGGCGGTGAGTGCTTTCTTTCTATCACTTGCTGCTCTTGCTGCAGCCTTTCAGTGCTGCGGCTATCTGCTGGCACTGTTGATTACACAAAGGCTCCGCCAAAGGCAGTTGATTGTTCAATCAATGCAACAGTACAATGCTGCTGCAGCAAGACTTCGGCGCATTCGAAGGAGAATTGTACGTCGTCGAGGTAGAGTATGGAGGAATTCAGGGAGGACAGAACAGTGGTGGCTTAACTTGTACAACGGAATTTTGCCGGAAAGGGAGTGGAAAAAGAACTTAAGAATGGATCGTGCAGTGTTTATGTCTTTAGCAGACGAATTGCGACCCTTTCTTGAACCTGGCCAGAGCCCAAGAGGACTTGATGTACCCTCAGTTGAAAAACAGCTTGCTATGACCCTATACTTTTTAAAGGATCAAGGCTCCCTTATAATGACAGCAAATGCGTTTGGAGTTGCTCATTGCACAGTCTCCGTGGTCGTTAGGAAAGTATGTGACTTAATCACTAATGTTTTAGGTGCAAAGTACATAAAATTGCCCACTACCGATCAAGAAATGAAGGATCTGATTGATGGCATGGAAAATAAATATGGATTCCCACAGGCTTTTGGATGCGTGGATGGCACACATATTCCCATTGCACAACCGTGTGAGAATCCCCATGACTATTTTAGCTATAAGCTGAAGTACACATTGAATGTTCAAGGAGTTTGTGACTGGAAAGGGCTATTTTTAGATGTTGACATCAAATGGCCAGGAAGTGTACACGATGGAAGAGTCTTTGCTAATTCAAGAATAAACAGACTGTTAAGAGAGGAAAGACTTCCCATGTGCTATAACGAACTCCTACCAGGCCATGAAAAGATACCAGTTATACTACTCGGTGATCCTGCTTACCCACTGCTTCCTTACTGCATTGAAGGAATTTCCGAATGCTCGTTCAAATGAAGAGGTCATTTTTAATAATATGCTTCGGAGTGCTAGAAACCCAATAGAGTGTGCTTATGGCCGTCTCAAAGCAAGATGGCAAATATTGAACAAAAGAATTGACATTGGATTGAAGTTTATCCCAACCTTAATTTATGCCTGTTGTGTACTTCACAATATTTGTGAATTGCGGGGCATGAATGTAGAGGATGATGCTCTTGCACAACAAATGGAACGTGATAGGCTTGCCCAGCCTGAAAATACACCAGACCGGCTATATTCAGTTAACAGTGCCGAAGGAGCTTATGTGAGGAACATCATCACATCCTCCTACAAGGAACACATTCCTCACTGATTTTATTATGTTTACTGAGTATTTCCAGCATAGCCTATATTTCAGTGTAACAAGAAAAGCTTTGTTTCTGCGAGAAACTCATCATGATCACATAAATAGCAACCTATTACATGTAATTTAGACTATAATTAATGTTGCTGCAGTTTTGGTTCCAATTTTCTTTTGGTTTGAATATTTACAAACATGTAGTACGTATTCCAGATAAGAGATGAGTCCATCCAGGGTCAATGACTCAACAAATATAAAATAATGCTAAGTTAAATGAAAGCAAAAAAATTAGCACATGGTGTGGGTGACCCCTCAGATGGTCTACATGGTGCCCACTTGAAAGAATAAACTGGAATGCTGCTGTTTCAGAATTGGTTTTCCTTTGTCTTGGGTTAAATTCAAACCAAAAATCATTGGACTCAAAACATACAGTACATAATATTGTATAATAGCTTTAACTCTTTAGTTATCATTGTTGCCTTGTTTTTTGAAAGGGCATTTTTCCTGTTAAATAATTACCTTACATAATTAAATAATTACCTTACGTAGAAGCACTTCTTGTGCTTCTGTATTGTTAAGAGTATTGTTTTTGTTTTAAGAAGCTAAATTACCTAAAAGCTCAAACTAATACATCTTAGTAACAATATAAGAACCATTATATTTAAAATATTTTCAATCAGAGGGATATAATGTATCGATTCAGAGATACAAAATAATGAATCATAGAATATCAGGATATCCTGACACAATATCAAATCCTTTCAAGGGAACTGTAACACCAAAAATGTTTTTTTTGTCTTAATTATCTGGATTTTTTCAATTTGTAAATTGTATCTAACACCCACGGCTGTTATCTTCTTTTGGTGTCTGACTGGCACCCAAAATTGGTCCGCGTACATTGGTGGACTGTGCCACTTCTTCACTGTCAATTCTGGTAAAATGAGAAGGTACATAACTTCTGTTTAGAGTGTAAATGTTTTCATATGCAAATGGTGTTGGAAACCCATTGTATGTATTAATATGAGGGTATACTTGAGGTGCACGAGGTGCAGGATGTGCAGTACTGTTAGGGGGTTGAGCAGACAAGGCCATTGCCATCATTTGCATCCCTTTGGCAATACCATCTCCAAGAGATGTTAAACAGGTGGTCATTTTGGATATGGAGTCTTCCAATGATTTGTTTCATTGTTCAAAAGACTTCACCATTTCTCTCTTCATAAGAAGGTCTTCTTTGGCAGTATTCATCAACAGCTGGTCTCGTTGTGCCTGGGATAGGGTTTTCTCCATGTGCCTTCTCTTATTGTCAACTAACTTTGGGATGTTGGAGACAGTCACACCTTTAGGTTTCTGATCAGTTGATGGTTCAAAAGTTTCTTTAGTCTGACCTTCAATGGCAGTATTAGGTGAATCTGGAGTTGATGAATCTGAAACCAATATGTTTTTATACATAATTAGACAGAAGTTAAACAGGATGTAAAATAGCTTTGAAGAATTATTTTTTGTGGTTTTAAAAATATCATTTCTATTCCTTTTAATAAATAAACAACTGAAAGAAGCATTATTTCTTTTGTACCAACTTCAGTCCCATTCATAATCAGCAGCAAATTACTCATCAAAACAGGGATTTCCTACGGGTAGAGAAAGCAAATGAGAATTCTTAAGTGGTATTTCCATAATCTGTGGAAGTCTTCAGGAGGAATTCAATTTTATTGAATTCTTCAGGGTTAAGACAAAAAGGCAAGTCCTCAACAAGGGAGGGGGAGGGGTTCAATCGTTCTTCCTAGGTGAAAAAGTTCAATAAAGCAAGGCTCAAATAAATACCTTCAGGGCTTTAAACATCCATTTCCAAACTTTTGTCTCTTCCTAATAAATCTGCATCAATTCCAAAGGATAAGGACGTTGTAGTGGGCGAGCCACCCCATATTTCAGACAACAGCTCAAAATTTTCTTGCACAATTTTCCCACTACCGCTTCTTGTTCCTTTGTTTACTGCTGTGTGGAAATCTTGCCTGACGTTTCTTATCTTCTCTTTCACTCTGTCGTAACCTTTCTTGGTCTGAGATCGTTCAGTATCGCGTTGTCTCTTGAAAGCTTCATATTGTTCCTCACTCATCTCTTTAAGTGATTTCGTGGGCTCAGTAACAACTTCAGGGCCAAAATCGTCTGGGAAATCGACGGCCATGCAACGACGTATTTCCGTATACATGGAAGCTAGGTCCGCTTCGAAATCTATTCCATTGAAGTCGCACTTCGTTTTGTAATCTTTTATGTACCTCAAAACAAGTTCCACTTGCTCAGATGTCCAAACCTTGTTTTTTGGACATTTTTTGGACTTCTTTGAAGTTGTAGAGCTGGTTGTAGCCTGCTCTTCGTTCTGCGAGAGAACAAGGGCTTTTCTCTTGCCTTGGGCTGCCATATTGTTATGATTTGAATTTCGCGCGAAGGACGTAACACGACCCCGGCCAGGCGGGTTACCTCACCTTGACACGTTTACATGGCAAATTTTTACCCCGGCTGAGAGGGTTACCCGTTCTGCCAGACCGGGTAACCCGCCAGGGCGGGTCACCCCACCTATCATGTAAACATGATCAAATAAAAATGAGAGATTATATGGAGAGGCGGGTTACCTCACCTACCCGGGGTCCCCCACCTCCATGTAAGCAGGCCCTAAGACTTTTTTATAGGGAGCTCAATACTCACGACGACGACGGCGACGAAAATGTTACGAAAAAAACACAATAGATGTAGATTAGCAAAACAACATCTCTGCACGTGCATAACGCATTTTTGCTTATTTTCTTGCCGTTGGTGCACGACTACGACATTTTAACTACCTAATTTCACCAGTATTGGGGTGGACGAGAACACACTGCATGAGACAGCGATTTTCTCAACCTTGTTAAAATATTCAAATAGTCTTTTATAGAACTGATTTGAACTCTGAGCACGAGTGATGAAATTTGAAACAACGTGGATTTACTTTTTAAGAGACATTTTTTCTACCGTCATTGTCGTCGTTCGGCTTAGCTATATTGATGTGAGAGGCAGATTACACAGCACGTCGCGCAGTTTAATTTTAGTTTGCTTTAAGAGCTTAGAACTGAGTCAGTTCATTCATGAGTTGTAAAACTTTGGTCGGTAGTTTAACACTGTCGTAAACATTCAAAACCTCTCTCTGGAGAAATAAATATGTGTTTCTACATTCTTTTGGATATTCTATGTTGCAAACAAAATATATCAGCAGAAGTGTGACCAAAGCGCTGGTATGTCCTCCATTAACCTTTAAGAGGAGATTCCTTTCCCCACTAAGGTATATGTCATCTGGGGCTTGCAGTTGCCCCTCAAAGATGATAAAGGGCGTCATTCCCTCCCTTGCGCTATGGGCAATTTTCTTTGCTTCATCACCATTCTAAGAGGAAAAATAAGCCAAAAGAACACTTTCACTAAATGTGTTTTATCAACTACTGCAGCATGATGAATGGCAATAAACATTGAAATGCATGGAAAGTTCTGTATGTTCATCCAATTCTTCAGGTAGCCCGAACCCTATTTATGTTTTTTACGATTGCTACGATTTAACCGATTTCTATGAATTTTGCCATCGTAACAAAGAATAGTGCAAATTTAAGAAACAGTTATTTATTTTCGTGTAGGTAAAAAACTTTTTGAGATTTTATGTTTAAAACCGAATTTTCACAAATCGAATTGAATCGTTCCTGCCACAAAACGCGATTAAAAAATATAACCAAAGCGCTTAACAAAATAGTTCCGTGCCACCTTAAACGACCCCTCCACTGGTCACAGTAGAAACCGCTGACACTTTTGCCTGAGTAAAGCATGCTGGCAAATTCTCTGGCAAATTCTACGTTGATCTTCATACTTTATTGCAAGCTGATTTTGAACCTTCTAATATTCTTTATAATGCGGTAAGTGACGAAAAGTATGTCTCTGATACTAGGCATGTTGTAGTGGTAAGCAAACAACCTTTACCTATATTGACTGATGCATTATTGTACGTAATCTGAAGTTAAGCTTATTTATTTTAAGTTTTGGCAAGTGTCACTCAACTGGAACATTCATGGTTGTTAACATGAAGGTAAAAACTATGAAAAATTCAAACATCAGGGAGATGCAGAGATCGAGCTTTATGTAATATCTTACAACTATGATTTGTAATGGCATTTATATGAACAAGAAAGATAGGGTATTGACACTAACTGTATTGTTGTTTTCTTACCTGGTAAAGAAAGTCACATTGGCTCTGGCCATTTTTCGGTGCCCTTTCAAGTATCATCGGCAAAAGACACAAGGCAATGAGTGCTTGGTCCTCTATATAAATTGGACATAAAAGTAACTGATCAGTTTTTGTTTCACAAGAGACAAAAATGTGTAAGCTTAATGGGGAACACCCATTAACTGTTTTGTTTTCCTCTGCCCCAACCGTAGTAATGGGTCAGAGTAAAAAAAAAGGAGAAGGGGTTATTAAAAGTGATATAGAAATTTATTATATAAACACCAGTGAAATATCAGGTGAGCTTTTGTGTGAAAAACATGATATCTTCACACATGAAAATAACATGTTATTTTCACCTAATTATGAAAAGATCACTAGTGCTATCGCTACATAACAAATCTTGCCTTTTGCAGCCAAAAAATATTTGATTGAAATGGTTTGGCATTTCATTGGTGTTTATATTTAATCATAATGGTGTTTGAAAATATTTCACTTGTTCGCTGCGCTTACTTGTGAAACATTTTTCAACACTCAAAGAGAAATTTCGTATATCTCCGCGCGGCCAGGTAACATCCTATATTTGTAAACACTAACTAAAAGAAAGGATGTTGTTGCAAATTAATCTACAGTAGTGTCCTTAAAAAAGTTATTTACCTGACGTGGGCGGAATATCCTCTTCATCATCAGAGTCACACTTTAGTAGATCGAGAAGTGGCTCCGATCCTTTTAGATTTTTTCTTTTGCTGTATTCAATAATTTTGGAACCCAGTTTTAAGAATTTTTCTTCAATGCCAGTCGCTGCATCTTCATCAGCCATTAGCCTGCAGTATTTATTTCGTACCTGAAAATTTGTAATCAAAACAATTATCCATAAGAATTTAACATATTTATATCACCATTACATATTTTTTATTTTTAGTTCTTTCCAACCTAACGAAAGCAGTAAAATCCTGGGGTGGGTAATAACCTACATGTATATGGAAATGCGCCTCTAGACAGGATATGGTTTTCGCCACTCTCCCATAAACAGGGTACTCTGTACATCACTTAATAGTTTTGCGCGATTCTGCATGTCCTAAACAGTGTATGTGTCCTTTTTCTTAAACAGGGTAATAAAATTAAGGGTTTTGTATTTTTCTAGGGATTTTTTTGTTCTAAACAGGGACAGGGTTTCAAACTCTCAGCAACCCTGCACCTCTACCCAATTGGTCAAGTACCCCCTGGGTTTCAATCCATGTCCATCCTTGTGATCTGTAGCAACAGAGAACTAGAAAGCAAAACTGGACCAGTGTTTTTAGAATTCAATTGATAAGAATTAACACTCATTTTAGCTTTTAAAAGATGTAGCGTGACGAACGTGTGACTAAACTATAGTCTAAGCTTACCTCTTTTTCATCAAATAGAAATGGATATTTTTCTTTGATGTCCAGTAGAGGTACCATCTCCTTTGTTAAGTACTCCCTTCGGAAGGAATATGTGAGGTCCATTTTTCTTGTCACAAGGCTGTGTCTTTTCTTTTTTCTTCCATTCTGAGTGCATCCACGTGACATACCTGGCATGGGATGTTTAGTCCTCTCCTTCGATATGTGGGGGAGCCCATTTTACAATCCCCCTTCGTAGTCCCTTTGCGGGATTTGGCTGTTTTATGCTAACATCTGGGTTTTTCCTTTTTCGTGCCATCACCATTGGGTCTGGCACATAACCACGACATTCATTCTTGCATTTATCAGTGAGGATTCTATACCAGCTTTCCTGTTAAGTGTTCAAATCATAAGAGTGTCGAGTACAGTTCATCTATAATTTTGTTTTATATAGATAATATTGTTGCTCTTAAAATTTATGTGCAACAATATTATTCATTTGTAATAATAGTATTGATTGTCATGTTGGATACTGCACCATAAGTTCATAAACAGTATAGTAAATTCAATTGAACCTTTATGTGCAACCACCTGTCATATAGAAGCTGCCACCTATCCAAAACACCAAACCTTTTCCAGTCAAGTCACTACAGTTTAATCCTCTCACGAGACCACTTTTTTCAATTAAGATGTTTGAATTTTCATTGTTCTTACCATCATGTTAACAACCATTTGGCGCATGGTTTGATCACCATGTGCACTTGTCCGCTTCGAAATCTATTCCATTGAAGTCGCACTTCGTTTTGTAATCTTTTATGTACCTCAAAACAAGTTCCACTTGCTCAGATGTCCAAACCTTGTTTTTTGGACATTTTTTGGACTTCTTTGAAGTTGTAGAGCTGGTTGTAGCCTGCTCTTCGTTCTGCGAGAGAACAAGGGCTTTTCTCTTGCCTTGGGCTGCCATATTGTTATGATTTGAATTTCGCGCGAAGGACGTAACACGACCCCGGCCAGGCGGGTTACCTCACCTTGACACGTTTACATGGCAAATTTTTACCCCGGCTGAGAGGGTTACCCGTTCTGCCAGACCGGGTAACCCGCCAGGGCGGGTCACCCCACCTATCATGTAAACATGATCAAATAAAAATGAGAGATTATATGGAGAGGCGGGTTACCTCACCTACCCGGGGTCCCCCACCTCCATGTAAGCAGGCCCTAAGACTTTTTTATAGGGAGCTCAATACTCACGACGACGACGGCGACGAAAATGTTACGAAAAAAACACAATAGATGTAGATTAGCAAAACAACATCTCTGCACGTGCATAACGCATTTTTGCTTATTTTCTTGCCGTTGGTGCACGACTACGACATTTTAACTACCTAATTTCACCAGTATTGGGGTGGACGAGAACACACTGCATGAGACAGCGATTTTCTCAACCTTGTTAAAATATTCAAATAGTCTTTTATAGAACTGATTTGAACTCTGAGCACGAGTGATGAAATTTGAAACAACGTGGATTTACTTTTTAAGAGACATTTTTTCTACCGTCATTGTCGTCGTTCGGCTTAGCTATATTGATGTGAGAGGCAGATTACACAGCACGTCGCGCAGTTTAATTTTAGTTTGCTTTAAGAGCTTAGAACTGAGTCAGTTCATTCATGAGTTGTAAAACTTTGGTCGGTAGTTTAACACTGTCGTAAACATTCAAAACCTCTCTCTGGAGAAATAAATATGTGTTTCTACATTCTTTTGGATATTCTATGTTGCAAACAAAATATATCAGCAGAAGTGTGACCAAAGCGCTGGTATGTCCTCCATTAACCTTTAAGAGGAGATTCCTTTCCCCACTAAGGTATATGTCATCTGGGGCTTGCAGTTGCCCCTCAAAGATGATAAAGGGCGTCATTCCCTCCCTTGCGCTATGGGCAATTTTCTTTGCTTCATCACCATTCTAAGAGGAAAAATAAGCCAAAAGAACACTTTCACTAAATGTGTTTTATCAACTACTGCAGCATGATGAATGGCAATAAACATTGAAATGCATGGAAAGTTCTGTATGTTCATCCAATTCTTCAGGTAGCCCGAACCCTATTTATGTTTTTTACGATTGCTACGATTTAACCGATTTCTATGAATTTTGCCATCGTAACAAAGAATAGTGCAAATTTAAGAAACAGTTATTTATTTTCGTGTAGGTAAAAAACTTTTTGAGATTTTATGTTTAAAACCGAATTTTCACAAATCGAATTGAATCGTTCCTGCCACAAAACGCGATTAAAAAATATAACCAAAGCGCTTAACAAAATAGTTCCGTGCCACCTTAAACGACCCCTCCACTGGTCACAGTAGAAACCGCTGACACTTTTGCCTGAGTAAAGCATGCTGGCAAATTCTCTGGCAAATTCTACGTTGATCTTCATACTTTATTGCAAGCTGATTTTGAACCTTCTAATATTCTTTATAATGCGGTAAGTGACGAAAAGTATGTCTCTGATACTAGGCATGTTGTAGTGGTAAGCAAACAACCTTTACCTATATTGACTGATGCATTATTGTACGTAATCTGAAGTTAAGCTTATTTATTTTAAGTTTTGGCAAGTGTCACTCAACTGGAACATTCATGGTTGTTAACATGAAGGTAAAAACTATGAAAAATTCAAACATCAGGGAGATGCAGAGATCGAGCTTTATGTAATATCTTACAACTATGATTTGTAATGGCATTTATATGAACAAGAAAGATAGGGTATTGACACTAACTGTATTGTTGTTTTCTTACCTGGTAAAGAAAGTCACATTGGCTCTGGCCATTTTTCGGTGCCCTTTCAAGTATCATCGGCAAAAGACACAAGGCAATGAGTGCTTGGTCCTCTATATAAATTGGACATAAAAGTAACTGATCAGTTTTTGTTTCACAAGAGACAAAAATGTGTAAGCTTAATGGGGAACACCCATTAACTGTTTTGTTTTCCTCTGCCCCAACCGTAGTAATGGGTCAGAGTAAAAAAAAAGGAGAAGGGGTTATTAAAAGTGATATAGAAATTTATTATATAAACACCAGTGAAATATCAGGTGAGCTTTTGTGTGAAAAACATGATATCTTCACACATGAAAATAACATGTTATTTTCACCTAATTATGAAAAGATCACTAGTGCTATCGCTACATAACAAATCTTGCCTTTTGCAGCCAAAAAATATTTGATTGAAATGGTTTGGCATTTCATTGGTGTTTATATTTAATCATAATGGTGTTTGAAAATATTTCACTTGTTCGCTGCGCTTACTTGTGAAACATTTTTCAACACTCAAAGAGAAATTTCGTATATCTCCGCGCGGCCAGGTAACATCCTATATTTGTAAACACTAACTAAAAGAAAGGATGTTGTTGCAAATTAATCTACAGTAGTGTCCTTAAAAAAGTTATTTACCTGACGTGGGCGGAATATCCTCTTCATCATCAGAGTCACACTTTAGTAGATCGAGAAGTGGCTCCGATCCTTTTAGATTTTTTCTTTTGCTGTATTCAATAATTTTGGAACCCAGTTTTAAGAATTTTTCTTCAATGCCAGTCGCT